GCTCCTGCAGTGTGTCTGTGGGGAAGCTCACTCTCTGGGCCATCTGCTTGCTGTAGTGGTTGGCTGCCTTCTGAATGGCAGCTAAGTTCTCCAGCTGGGCCAGAGTTGTCACTGCATTCTCCAAGCAAGGTACTGCTCCGCTATTGATAGTGTCCACGTAGGTCACAACAAGAGTTCTCAGCCCTGAAGAAGCCAGAAAATTTAGGGGCTAAGTATCAAGTTATCAGTCAATGGCTTCAGGATTCTGAGACTTCACTTCTAGGGTCATATACACATGCACACACACAAACACACACATGCAGCCCAAACTTCTTCTATTTTTATCACCTTCATTTTCCTACTGACTCTTCATTTTTATGGTTTTCCAGGCCACAGGACTAAAAATGTTAATATCTATTTCTATCTAACATACTAAGGGTTACCTGAAAAATAAAGTGTCTCATTTTAAAAATTGAAAACAATATAGATTTCATAGGTAGACATATGAAGGAAGGTGTACCATGTTTAATTTATTCCTAATTCTGAGGCTTTGAATGGATTTTCAGTGATTTATGGGCTAATATATATTTTTGGACCACTCTAAATTCTCAAAATATCTTTTGAATTCTCCTTGTGAAGAACAATTACTGTATAGGACTTCCTTTGAAAATATTGAGTATTCTGTTTTTATACCAAGAGAGTGATTTCATTCTAAGTGGAGGATGTTTTCAGATAAGTGGAAGTCACATATTTCAGTGACAAAAATTGCAATTTGGGGGAGGGATTTGTAAATCCCCCAAAGTGAGATAATTATAAAGTATACAGATTTCTTCATGGAGTATAAATGTCTGTAAAATCAGAATTCTTTATAGAATCAAACAAAAATAATAGAAAACTCATTATATAAAATATTCAGCACATATCAGTACCCACGGAAATGGGAAAAAGAGACTCACGTTTCCCAGTGACCATGATTCCTTCTGTGAGGGTCTTGATCCTTGCATCAGCGAAGATGTAAGAACAGAAATTTTTTGTTTGCTCCTGGAATTTAGGATCCAGTTGGTCTTCAGATACCATCCCAATATTGGCTAGAATTTCTTTGTCATTTGTTGGCCGGTCAAAGACAAAACACTTCCGTCTTGGAAAGAATTGCCTGATGCACTCTCTGGTTAGATTGGATGTTTGGGCTTTAGGATTCTTCCCTGAGGGACAGAAAAACGGGGATTAAAGTGTGGAGAGTCTTGAGGCAAGGGGGATACAGCTGCTTCCAGCAGGGATTTGTGTGTCTTTGCCATCTTCTATGCATAGAAATCCTTTAACATAGTCAATGCTTCTTTGCACATCAGACTTACACCAATGATATAACTGTTGAGAAATTTAGGGAGAAATCTGATACAGTAAAGCAAACCTATGGCTGGTCTCTCCAGAACTGCACGGAGTAGAGTGGTTGTCTATTAGGTATCTACTGAACTAGCAGCTAAAAGGATGAAAGGTCAAATTAAACTTTCTACTCAACTCGACCTCATGTAGGAATTGGGCTGTGAAAGCAAAAAGAAGAGCTAAAAACAAGGGATCATGGACAATAATTGGAATATTAGGAATGACACCATCATTATATAAGGAAAACTGTTTTGATGCTAAAAGTAATTGATGCAGTGTTATCTATTTTTTAGCAAAAACCTCTGAAGGGTAAATGCACCTGAAATGTAATTTTAAGGTATCACCACTAATCTATAAACTCTTGAGTAAATGATTATATCTGGTCCTCTCCTGCCATCCAATCTCTCAATAGGTGTTTTGAGAAAGCATAAATAGAAACATGAAAGTAAGAATGAATAAATTGGAATTGATATTTTTCACAAGGTTTCGATAGACACTCATCCTTGTAAATGTAACCCATGGAAATAATTTATTATCTTGTAATTAAATCATGGGTAAACATGTGGGAATTAAGAGAAAGCTATGATATGGAAGATAAAATGAATGTTCTAATAATTAGTATTATTGAAAAAGCATAGATTGTAAAGACAGTCACTTCTTCAGGTTTATTTAGAGCATACAATCATTTTGTAGATGATACAATTATACAGGATTAGAAAATTATATATCCCTCTTTGATAAAAATAATATGTGAAATATATATTTTGTTCATTAGATAGGCTTTTCACTGCAGTTTCATGTCTAACAATTAGCTGATTAGTTGTTTTCTTCAACAGAAACAAGCAGAAGCCAAAATAGGAATCACAGTGTCCAGTCTTCAGAAAGTTTCAGCACCCATTTAAATCTGGATGCTAAATTTAAAGATGTATAAAAAACAAATTGGCTCTAAGTAATTTCTCTTTACACTTTACTTTTCTTAAGTAAACTTCAACTGTAGCCCCTAGATCTTTGCAACCCACTTTCCAGCCACCATTTCCACAGACTTTGATTTAGCCTCAAATACAAATGCAATCACAGAGATAAGGGACAGTGTTTAGTAGATCCCACCCTCTATTGGACCATACACTGCCCAGGCCATACTCTGATACCTGGAATCAGCTTCAGGGCATTCTCCAAGTACTTATCTTCTGTGATAGGCTGACCATGTAACTTCAGCTCCAGGGTGAAATCCCGTACAGTCCAGATAAAGTCTGGAAAGAAACTCACAAATTCTGTGGAATCTTCTACTCTATCAGGTGTTTGAGAGGACTTCACCCTGATGAGTTTTGCAAGTTCTGTCACATAACTAGGACTTGGTCAAGGAAAAGAAACTCATTACCAACAATTCCAACATTTCTCGAAATAAAAGTATTATAAACACTCTCTTTTGCCATGTATCCCATCTGCTCCACACGAGGAAATTAAATGACAGGGAAGGAGAGACTGATTCTATCTCCATTCCCATGAATTCAGTGAAACAGTGTTTCAAGACCTGGAAGGATACTGCAGCTGCTCCAGGGCCTGGTGGTTGATGGTGCTCATGCTGTTGTAGACAAAGCTACTGCACAGAAGCACGGCCAGGGCAAAGATCCATGAATCCTTCTTAGACTCATCCTAGAAAGCACATTAGAAAAAGAGAATTAGAAATTTACCCCTAAATTAGAAATTCTTCCATACATTTATTCGTTCATGGTTTCATTTATTATTTCATCTAACCTACTCAACATGCTAAGAAATTGCTTGAAGACAGATGTAAATGAAGATATCAACTTTGACAATTACAGAGACATTTCTTGTGTTTACAATTTTTTCATATATAAAAGGATTCTAATATTCACAGTGCTTTCTTTTTCCTCGATTGGATAAAGTAAAATAACATATACAGAAAAACTAATACAATACCTGTTGTGCAATTAGGTATGCAGTGATGAGTATGGGCACTTATTCATTCTACATATATTTATTAATCAGAGTCCATATAAAATATATCTTAGTTGGCATAGCTGGGCATTTAAATTGTATCCAATCAATAAATAATTGCAGGAAGCTACTAAATATCCCCCACTGTTCTTAGATATTAAAATAGCAGTGCTAAAATTGAAAATTATTCCTTTCAATATGACTATTTCAAAGCAGTGAGCAAACATCCATAACAGTATGTGCAACAAAGATAGCAGTATCTGTAAAAGGCTTACTCTCAGTAATGTATATAAGCAGTAGAACCTATAGCTTTAACACTAAACTAAAATTTAGAAGTCTATCAAGGAAAAACAGAGCTATGAAAGTTGGAGAAAAAATATATGGTCTGAAACCTTCCTCAAAGTCTTGAGCTGAATATTAAAGAACTGGTAAATATGGAACTGAAGAAATGAAGGAGATCTCAAAGACAGAAACACCCAGAGAAACAAAATTAGAGATGGGAGAATACAGGGGTCTTGTAGTTAAAATAGTGTCACTTGACTTGACTGGAGCTGATGGCAAGTGGAGAAGTTAAGGGGAGCTTTCATGTAGCCTAATCAAGGGCCTTAAAGCCCAGGCTAATTTGTATAAATCATAGCATTGTCTAAATAATGGCATAAACCAGAAATTGTTTTTATTATAAAAGACATGTAAAGTTGCTCCCAGTGCAAATGCAAAAACTGTGATTTTTGTTGAGAAGTTTCTAAATGGGAGTTTGGGGGGATAATATTCTATTCATTACTTTCTTTCCCAAAAACCCAATTTTTAAAAATAATCAATTAGGGTAAGAAGTAGCACTTACGGCAATTATTTCAACAACAAGATTATATCATTATTTTATATATGGCTTTAAAAAAAGCACAGGAGAAGCAAGATGGTGGAGTAGAAGGATGCTTGCAGCTCACCCTCTCCCACAAATACACCAAAACTCACATCTGTGGACCCACTCAGCCAACCAGAGCACCTGCCAATCTCTGACAGAACATCGCCCTCTTTGAAAGATAGAGATGCCAAAAATCTGGTAGGAAAAAAGGGAAAAAAAGCAAGAAGGAAAAGCAAAATGGTGTGAGACCAATTCCGCTGGGAGGGAGCGGCAAAGGAGGACTGGTGCTTGTTCACTGGGTCTCACCTTTTCAAAGGAGGGGCCAGTGTGATGGAGGGGGAACCTCCGAGTCTCAGATCTGCCCCGAGCACCCCTTGATTGACAGAACTGAGGTAAATGGGCACAAAGTGTCCCCACAACACCCAGCCTGAGACAAAAGCTGGCAGCTGGGGATGGGGCAGGTGGCCCAAGCTGGGTGGAGGACTGGGGTGGCTACACTGAGGCTTACCAGGGGGCTACAGGGTTCTGTGTACCATGGCTGGGAGGGAATATGGAGCAGAACAACCTCAGTCCCCCATAAATTGTGGAAAAAGCAAAACAACATGGCTGGTGTGCCCTGGGGGGAGGGGTGCTTTAGCCATTGTCTCCTCAGACCTGTGCTGCCATTACTGGTACTTCTCATGAGAAAAGAGGTGGAGCACAGCCAAGTTGCCTATTCTTCTGTTTGCAGCACCCAGGCCGGGTTGGGGCTGAGCCCTGAAACTGCACGCAGGGGATCCGCAACCTCCTAGGTAGGACTGAGACTTGTTTACAGCTGAAGTCAGATAGAATCTTTCTGCCCTGGTCCCTCAGAGAACTCAAGCTGCCAAGACAAACAAGGAGCTGAGATTTGGCATGGAGCAGAGGTGGGGCTGTTCCACGGCCTTCATTTAGCCCACCTTCAGAACACCAACCCGAGGCAGTGTGGGCACAGCAGCAGAGTGACCAGTGCTGGGAAAGAGTGGGTGGCAACCCACTTTCCTGGCAGAAACACAGCACCTGACCATGGTGCTGGGAGAGGGCACGATCCACCCACCTGCCTCCCCCGAGTGCAGCATCTGACTGCAGCATCAGGAGGGGGAGTGACCCTGCCCACCTACCAGATAAGAGCTCAGCACCTGACCCAGTGTTGGGAGGGGTGCGCCATTTGCTAGCCAACAGCCACTGGGAGCAGCACAGAAGAGGGAGCCAACAGAGGG